TGCCCCCCCCCCTTTACAACAACCGCCCACACCACACCACGTTTCCATCCGGGTATGGGAATCTGCGAAATGTAGAAGAGGTTTCATAAGTTTTGCAAGGGGTTTAGAATTTACCAGTAATGTTGTCATGAGATTCTGTAGGGTTACAGGGGGTTGGGTTTTATATGGGGTTTGGGGGCTCGTCTGGAATTTTCAATACAACATCCATGCAAATATACACAAAATCCATACAAATATACACCAAATCCATGCAAATATACACAAAAACTATGCAAGACTGCAAATCATCCAAACCCTACACACCCTAGGCACTGCCTTGTTGTTGCTGGGGGGGGGGGGGCTAAAACAACATGACGGGGTCCTTGTTTTTGTCCGTACCTCATGCACAGACCAAAAGCAGATATATTGGTTGACGGGGCTGCAGTTTTTGTTTGTACCTTGTTGTTGTTGTTGTCGTCCTCGTCTTCGTCATCGTCGCTGTCGCTGTTGGTGGTGTCATGGTTTTGATGCTTCGGCGGTGAAGATGAGGTGGTAGAGGGAAAGGGTGCTTCAGCATGCATGCCATGCTTGTGCCGTGCGGTGCAGAGTTGTAACGCTTCGTCTGCAGAAAGCAGAAGGCGCTGTTGCCATCGTATACTAGCAGTGGTTGTCATTTTCTGTCAGACTTGCGGGGCTGGGATACCGATCTCAAGATTGGCGACGAGCATCGGAGGTTTTTGGATAGCACATCCCCCGCAAGTTCTCCTGTCGCTCGATTCACTAAAAGATGGCCCCGAAAGCCCCATGAGCTTTTGCTTTGACGCAACCGACGCCTTGAAATCTTGAAACACTGTGGCACAAGGAAACCCGCATGCTTGTTCAAATTCCTGTCGCCGAACTTCTGAAACATTGAATGCACAGTGTTAATTCCGAATGCCCTTGAGAAGTAGTGCTGATCACAGGAAAAAGACACAAGCCTGAGCACCACCATATCTGCCGTACAGGTGGTCCTGCATATACAACTGCTGTGTTACTCCCGTGATACCATTTCCTCGACAGTCCAAGCCCACAACCACAAACTCCGAGTGAGCAAACCCGAAACCCAAGCTCCAAAACACTCATCCCCCAACCAGCCAGCTCTAGATCCAATCCCGAAGCCGGGTCTCAAGACTCCAAGTCCTACACCCAAAAACCTCATACCCTGGAGTCTGGAGTGTTAATCCAAAGCCTCAGACCCACAAAAAAGCCAAGGTGGCGGCCGTCAACGTGAATGGCATCGGCCCTGCCAGCAGCAAAAGCGAGGCCCCGGGCTCATTTGACACGCAGGCTTCTCCAGGCTGACCGTAAAGGATGTTTCAAATTGAGGTTCAGGGTTTAGGATGTTTTTTGCTGGCGTTTTCTAGGTATGACCGATTGCCTGAATCCTCAACCTCTACAATCTACAAGCCCTAAGCCAGTGCAACCCTGTTTATCCCGACCTTTCGTCTTGACCCCAACACTCTGCACCGCAAATCCTGAGCCGCAAAACCAGCACCGTCAGTAATTAGTCTGTGCACCTTGGTTGAAGCTGACATCCCCGCAAAAATTCTGGGGTTTCGGACCGAGGAGGCGTGTTGATATGCCCTCTGTCTGGAAGTGAGCTTTACGCCCTGGCAGGGAGATCCCTGCGAAGAACAGAGATTATGAATGTATGACCTCTTCACACTCATGGAAGGGTCCTACTTTAAGTGCCCATGTTGCTTCTTTCCAACCTCAATGCAACCCGAGGATAAGAGCCGTACAAAACCATACAGAACCCTATAAGACCTTGATAAAGCCCGCGTAAACCTCAGGACCCAAGCTTCTGATGCCTCGCAACGCTGTCAGGTGTTGCACTTCCACCCTCGCGAGCTCGAAACAGAAAAGGACAGTCTCTGTCTTACTCGTATGAAGGTCGTGTGAGGTTTCTATAGGGTTCTACGGGGAGGTTGAGGGAATAAAGTTCAGGGAGCCTTCAAAACAAACTATACGGAATCCTAGTAATTGTAGGGTAGGGATCCGAGCCCGGTATTATATACACCCAGAGGCTTTAACATCACCTGCATTCTCCAAAAACATGGGTGATTGGAGGCTCTGTGAACCATCAGTCTTGAGTGTAGTTTCGTGATTTGAGGCCCCTTAGCCCCCAAAAATGCAAGCAGCAGTCCAGAACTCAGACTCTCAGTGGCCTCAGTCGCCGTCAACCTTCCAGGCACAGTGCATACTGACTGCCAAATCACAGCTACACCCCTTGTCGCTCGGAGGATCTGTTGACTCAGTTTCCCCTGTCATTAATAAGTACCGGTAGTATTCATAACTCGAGAATACATTCTCCATAGACCAGGTTGTACAGCTAACAAATTTCGCGTCATCGGGCACCT